CCAAACTTGTAGCAGTTGTATATTAACTTGTGATGAATTAATTCAATGGACTTACTCAGTAACGCAGTGCAAAAAGCTGAAAACCCCTAACCCCTGTGCAAGCTGAGAGCAGTCCTCTTGAAGTCTGACGGCTCTCCTTTTTAAGCTGTACGTCCTGTCCGTTTTTAAAGGGGACCCAAAGCCCTACCATTTTTAGATGCACATGTGAATAAGATCAACTAAATGTTGTAAATCCCATGAAAATGTGTTCATGTTTAACTACCTATCTAGGTTAAAAATGTAACTCTCTGGCTCCAAGCACAGCAAAGTGACAGGACTTGTGACCACTGTCAAAGGGTGGGGCTCATTGTTCAGGTAGAGCCAATGATAGGCTATCACTGATGAAACTTAATGCATTGGTAGATTTCACTTGAGCAATGACCTTGTTCCAATACATAGTCTGCTAGACGTGTTAGGTACTTTACAGCTTTGTATGTTTTTAGACTTGTAATTGGTGGGGCGGATGTGTGATTATGGGTGCGTGTTGGTGGGGGGGATGTGTGATTATGGGTGCGTGTTGGTGGGGGGGATGTGTTCTCTGTAAAGTAAGGTTACTAGTAAATGGCACCCTAAATGTGGCTTGGCCAAATGTGGAAAAACAAGCACCTGCAAACATGCAGGCACATGCGTCACAGCTATGAGTGTTTCCGCAACACATAGGTGTGAATGGGGATTTAGGGTACCTAGAGGTTCTCTTTAAAACAATACAGTTATAAAGCTCTACTAAGAGTTTTATATCGAAGACCTCATAAAACATGCAACAAATGCTTTTCCTGCGTCATTTTCCTTTTTAAATTGTACCTGATGTCATTTTGTGAGGAGTTCTATATATTGGCTTCTGCTGCAGGGAAATCACATTGGTAGGACAGGTGATGAAACCATCCAATGCATTCCTGAATTGACCTTTTAATTGGCTCTAAGATTGTAACAACCCAAATACCCTGCTTTTTAATTACATAAGCGTTTTCCTTTACTTGCACTGCAGTCCTCCATTTATGTCCTTGGTTGCCGAGAATGGCTTCTTAAGCCAATTGTGTATACTTCAATTTGTATAAGCCAATGTACTAAATGTGCAGATTGGAATGTGTAGCAGTAAAGTGTAATTGTGTGAGGATGCTTCCATATTTCGGGGGGTTTCCAGAATTGATAGAAGGGAGTTTCTTTGCTACGAGAAATTGTGGGGCCTCCCCATGGTCTTTATCAAAGCCAGGATACTGGTAAGCCCCCCCCCCCCCCTCTCCAGTAATTCAGTTTTTTTTCTGTTTATATCTTATCCTGTTTTAATAATTCCACATTTTCCTAAGTATGTGATATGTTACAAGTCCAGTATGTGGTTTTCTTTTCTGCCTGAAAGCCTTCATTGATTCAGTAAACAAAATCTTTCTATGCAGACAAAGATTGGTGTGCCTTTTGTTTAGTAAGTCTTTAACCACTTGCCGTCCGCTTGTAGTAAAAAAACGGACGGACGGCACTGCTGCATTGGCGGGTTGCCGTCGCCAGACAGCTTTTTTTTTTTTTTT